ATTGTGGCCGTGGTCCTGATGGAAATGGCAGTACTTAGACTGGTCTCGCCGATTGGAAAGAGACCGTGATGCTTGTGGCCATTTCAGGGGATAATCACGTTGGATCTGGTTCAAGACTTGTTCCATGGAGGAATTGAGGGGAGCGTACAGTTCGAACTGGCCGGGCGATCGGGCAGGTGCCGACCGGTCGGCCCGGGTAGGTCGGTCAGCATACTGAGGTGTTTGCTACGTGTACTGGGTGGTTCTGGTTTCAGAGTCTTTTCTCTTCTCTCTAGGGATAGGGTTTTTGGTTGTGGAGCCTTGTCGGGCGGCTAGGGAATCTTTGGTGTTCATATATTTTTGGGCTTTGGAGAGGAGGGTTGCCATGGAGGTTTGAAGGTTTTTTGAGAGGGAGAAAAGGAAATCGGATGATCGTAGACTGGCCATGAAAGCCGTGAGAATGACCTTGTCATTGTTTTCTGCAACCTGCAAGGCTTCGGAGTTGAAACGGGTGACGAAGTTGCGCAACGACTCTCTCTCCGTTTAACGGATGTTGAAGAGTTGAGTTGCCGGACGCCGTTGGCGCTAGGCACCAATGAAGTGGCTGAGAAAGGAGTCACTTAGGTGCTGAAAAGTAGAGACAGAGTCCGTCGGTAGCTAATTAAACCACAGTCGGGCCAACCCCTTAAGTGTTACAGGAAAAGCCCGACACATGATCTCATCAGGGAATGCAGGGAGGATCATGAGGGTCCTATAGGTCTCCAAGTGATCGACTGGGTCCGTTGTACCGTCGAAAGAGTCGATCGAGGGCATTTTGAACTTAGGAGGTAGGGGTTTGTCCCTGACGGAGGCAACGAATGGTGAGTTGGTTGTGGTAGAGGGTTTATTTTGTATGTTCTGTATGACTCCTTGAAGCTGGAGTTTCATGGCTCGGAGTTCCGCATCCCAAAAAGAAGCATTGTCACCACCGAAATGCAATGGGGGCTGGACGCTACTGGCCTCTCCCTCGGGGGCTGGTGCTTGGACCGATGGAAGTGGGGCCCGAGGTGGCCGGTTCATATCTGGGGGAGGAGGTTGCAAGCCTTCCAAGTTGGCTGGATGGGATTGTTGAATGGGATGACTCGGGGCTCGTTCTCGGTTGGGTGGGACATCTTGAGGTGGTGGAGGAGGAATGTGAAGGTCTCTTTAAAGCAAGGCATTGATCAAGGCTTGGTTTTGTTCGGTTAAGCGGTTAATGCTGTTGGTAAGCTTTGTGAAATACTGCGGTGGATTGTTTGGGTTAGGAAGGTTGGCTTGGGGGTCGGCAATATTGTGTTGAGAAGCCATGGATCTAGTTGTGACCATCCACCTTGGCGGGTGGCAGGTAGGGATTATCGAGAATAGGTCTTCGGCGACAATGAGCACAATTGCCACGCGGAGCGAAAAAGGTTCCCACAGACGGCGCCAACTGATGATACTGATTGTTCTAGATGGAACGGGTCGGATTGAGCCACGCTTCTCAAACCGTTGCCCGGATGTCGAGCCCGTAGAGAGACCTGCACAAGAGTTCAACGGGGAATGGGGAGTCCCCTAGCAAACCATCCGACGATCAAGTTAGAGAAGAGAGAGGATGATGGAAAATGAAGATTGGATGGTGATAGAGAACTTAACCTTTTCTTCGTCTTAGAGGTCTACTTATATCCTCTGCTCATCATTTCCTTGTCCACTCCGAGTCGTCATGTTGGCCGAAAGTCTATGTTCTAGCTTGTCTTGTTCATGGTGAGGCTGGTTTTGTTCTGTCGTGAAGGGTTGTCGTAATAAATGCTGCAGGGGAACTCATTAATGGCTGATGTGTGGTGCAATAACTTGTAGGATCTTTGTCTGCTGATGTGGCTGGTTCTTCATTTGCCAAGTGTCTAGATGTCATTGCTGCTTGGTGTAGCGTTGGGTTCCGAGAATGTTGAGCTTTAGTATTAGAGTCATAGATTGGGCCTTAAGTGGTGAACCATATCCTTAATGGGCTTACCCATGTCAGATATCAATGTGTTTGCTTTCAAGTTTGGCTGATTTATTTGCGAATGTTCAGATTTTGTAAATTTAGTATTTACGTTTGCACATATGAAGCTGCCAAAGCATTGTATTTTTGGTGTAACACAAAATGGGAGATTGGTTACCCTTTTCCTTCTTGATTGTAGTTTGAGCAATTTTGGGCAATGTCTTTATTTGTATCTTATTGTTGGTTGAACAACACATTGGTTTTTGAGAGCTTGAACAACACATTTTGTCTCAGTTCATACTATTATTTATTTGAATATTTTGTCTCCGTTCACACTATTATTTATTTAAAAGTTATTCAAACGGTAAAATAGTATGAATTGGTACGCAAATAGAATCTCTCTTGTATCCTTCATGTTTAATAAAGCCATGGATACTTGGACATGAATGCATTACCAATATAAAACTATGTCTTTGCAGTTATTTTCGTGTTTTTTTATTAACGTGATTTTTAAATATTCTCTATTTTATTTTTGGTAATGTTGTATTCCATGTTCAATTTTTATGGTCTGTAATTTTTCCTAGAAACCCCCCCCCCCCCATTTTTTTATATTTTTTATTTTATATGTTTTTGAAAAATAAACCTCCAAATTATAATTATTTTACAAATGCTTAATTTTACTTTCATTCCCTAAACAATTAAATTTTTTTAAATTCCATTCCTAAACTATGAATTTTAATTATTTAGTTTGTTAAGGTTTTAATTTCAGTTCATATGGAAATTGTCTGTCCAAATCACGAATGAGAAAACCTTAGTGAGCAAAGAAGTAATTTTACAAATTGGACAATCTAGATCATATAATCTGACTGCCACACACATCTTCTTCTTTACACTTCATTTCAAAATAGTGATAATTATTTGATTGTATGATTTAAATTATTTCAATTTTGAAGTAACTTTTTTGGCCCATTAAATTAGGTTTTAATATTTATTGATTTATTACAACTTCTTTAATTAGACCACATTAATTAAAAATTATTTTTTTAAAACTTAAATGAATGAAAATAATAATTAAAAAAATAATGATTGTTTAAAGAATAAAATTAAAATTAAAATTTATCCGACAAAATGAAAAAGGTGTACTGTAGAAACATTGAAAACGAGTATGGATTTGTTAAAGTTGAGTATCTCAACTTTATAGGTAAAGTTAACATATTGCAGGGAGGGATTAATCTGTATTTATGTCAATAATCTAAATCGTTCATATATGACAAATTGAGAAGAACATGCATGCAGATTAAATTTGTAAGATGATAAAAATGATATAATAACATAACAATTGTTGTTACGTCAATTTAATTTTTTTGTATAAATAGTTTTATTAGTATGTTGTACAAAATAAACGATTTAATGTATCAAAATGAGTCAAAATTAGTTTGATAATGAGTCAATTTTACTGTAAAATTGAGATTTTTAATCTTAACAAATCCAGACTGATGAATAAAAAAGTATGGTTTGGTGTGAACAAATAGAGAGCATGTTGTCACATACCAACTCATTGGTAATGCGAGTTCTACACTAAGCACCTTGCAAGTACATTAGTTTGTGAGCGCCCAGACAGACAGGGTAGATCCCTATCGTGCATCGCTTGGGTTGGTCCTTGGGCATAATACAAGGGGTAGGTAGTGCCACTCATGGAGCCGATTTTTCAGGAGAATGACAAGCGCCTAGTCCGTGATAAGTGGTATCAGGGCCAATCTAGGGGCACTATGATAGGGACGGTACGTGGGACTTACACTAAGCACCTTTATTGTGGGGTCCGCACTAAGGGTAGTATCCGCGCGGCGCGAGTTTCCTATGGGTAGGGGAACAGACAAGCCTAGAGGTAGGCAAGGTAGGCGTCAGGGATTGGCGGCGGTAACATGTCACATACTGACTCATTGTTAATGTGAGTTCTACACCAAGCACCTTGCAAGTGCTTTATTTTGTGAGCGGCAAGGCAGACAGGGTAGATCCCTATCGCATCATTTGGGTTGGTCCTTGGGCATAATCAGTGATAGAATTAAGAAATTAAATCACAAGGGGTACTTATCAATTATAACATTGAAAATTTTTACAAAAATATTTCACTTAAATTTTTACGATTGACTTCAAAAAAGATAAAAAAAATAAAAAGAAAACTAATATTATTTGTAACTAATGTATCATGGACAATATAAAAAAATCATGGATATAAATTATATAATGATAAAGTAATTTTTTATACAAAATTTGAGTAAAATTCAATATAATAGTCATACCACACATCATTGACATGGGATATCATTAACCACTGGTAAAGAAACACATAGAGTATGAAACTCACATGTCAAATGTAACTAACAATCTAATAAATCTCATATTTTCATTGAGATTAATTATGTTTATATGTCAATAATGATAGACATCACCATTATATTAAAATTTTCATAGATAGTAATATGATTTATCATAATCTTTTTATTTTTAATCAAAATAACCATTATTGTTCTTATAATTTAAAAAATGTGATTGACATTTCACTATAAATAATACTTTTATTTAAAATATTTTCTTTATATTTGTCAAAAAAATAAAAATAAAAAAATTGAAAACCCAAGGGGGCACGTGACCCCTTAGACTCTCTATATCTCCGCCACTAGCCATAATGCATAGGGGTACACAGTATCATTCGTGAAACCGACTTGGATAGATTTCTACCGCATCAATTGATCTTTAGACATAATACAAGAATACACCATACCATTCATAAAACCAATTTCTCGATTGGATGACAAGTGGACAGTTAAGCTACAAGGTTAATTTGTTAACCTGCACCAAACAAGTTATTAATTTATATTTACAACTATAAATTATAATCTATTAAGTTATAATCTATAATAATTTCTTTAAGTCTACCAAACGGGTCAATGTGGTGTCCAATGTTTTTCACTATTTGTAAAACGGAACATCCATAGGAAAAGAAAAAAACGATTTTTTTTTTATTATTTATTTAAAACGGGGTTGACGAATCTGGAATCCAACGCAATTGTGGTGGATTGTGGTGTTTGTGCGTGGCACGGAGACAGTCTACAGCCACAGAGAGAGACAGAGAGAGAGAACTCCTTGTCATCTTGTTCTTCTTCCTTCTTGTTTTTTAATATTTGTTGGCAGCCTTGGAAAATTCCAAAACCAAAATACATACAGACGTGCTTTCCTCCATATACAACCAAACCCTTGTCACACCCATTTGAAGATTTTTATCCAACTGAATACTGATCTTCTGTCTGCTTCTCTCTCTCTCTCTCTCTCTCTCTCTCTCTATCTGCACGTTTTCCTCATCAATCAAATGAAGTATTGTGCAAACAATCCCTTTTTGTTATTCTACTCCACATTGTAGCATTGTATATATATATGTATATATGGGTAGATATATGGAAGGCAATGAGGAGACTAGTTCCTGCACGGTACTCTCTCTCTCTCTCTCTCATTCCCAATTCCCTCTGCTTTTCTGGGTATTTGTTTGTTTCCTAATTTTTTCATGTACTCGTGGATTAAATGCACATCTCTGATTCTAGGGTTTACGTTCGGTCTCCTTGTTATTCAATTTTGTGGGTATCAAATGTTCACTTTTGTTTCTCTATGATTTTGATTGATTGGTTGGTTTTTAGACTTAATCGTGAATATATCCAAATGTGGTGGTTCTTTGTTTGGAAGTGAGTTACTGTTAATTTTTCCACATTGTGAGCCTTACCTTGGTGCACCCTTCATGTTGTTTTTGCCCATTTCTTGTTGAAGTTTCTCTATAGGCTTCAGTTGGTTACCAAGAAACAAATGGAAAGAACAGAAATTAAAATCCCAAATCTTTTTGTTTTCTGAGTGATTCATAAATCCCCCATAATACAAATCATATGGCATGATTGAATTAAAAAAAAAAAAAAATCATTTGAAGTAAAAATCCAGTGATTTTCCAATATGGGCTATATTGCCTGTGCTACCAGAAATTAATCCTGGTGCTGCTAAAATCTCCATTTCTTTCATTGAACAGTTTTGTCTTGTGTTCTTGAGCACCAGTCAATAGTGACAGCCGTTGATAATCGTTCGTAATTGTATCACCAACAAAATGTCATATCCTCCCCTTAGACCCTCAGGGCTCTTAAATGTCCAGTCCACCTCCTCCCACAATACATAACATTCTTACTGCTTGCTGCTTCTGTGATTGCCAAACACCGCAAGAACCATTTTGCTGCTGCCCGCCCCCCACCTCCAACCCTACCACCTGCCATGGCTCCCACAGTTTGCCTTTTGTCACATTATTTTTTAATATGATGTATATAATGGAAAAAGCTTATAATAAAGTAAAAATTACAAAAAATTGGAGTTTGGGTTAAAAACTTACAAAAATATGAAGAATATTTTGAATAATATTTTTTAATTACACTAGGAATGGAAATTTAATACAAGAGAGATTTATTAGGAAATGCTTTTTTAAGTACTTGTATTCCAATTAGTTCATAACATATTCTTGTATTCCAATAAGTTTTATTATTTGAACATTTGATCCACCAAATACTAATTCTTATATTTAAGGTATTTTATGGATAATTTTACCCTTACAAATATTTTTTAAACACTTAGTGACTTAGTAATGTGAACATTCATATTTAACAGTGTGAATGTTCACATTGACAGTATGAACATTCACATTGACAGTGTGAATGTTCACATCACGGAACATTCACACTATTAATGTGAATATTATTGTTAGAGGTATTTTGGTAACTATGTCGTCCATAGAACTTATTGGAACATAAGAAAATAATTTGGACTACGTAGAACATAAGTAGGTGAAGGGAGATTTATGAATAAATGTCCGTTTATAAAATAATTGCAAAAAATGAAATTCCTCTCTCTCTCTCTCTCTCTCTCTCTCCATTGCTAGCCCCACCCTCCACACCCTCCCTCTTCCTTTTTATCTCACCGAAGCACTCTCTCACCCTCTATGTAGCAGCAATCTAAACTACATCACCACCTCCTCCAACACTGCGCCTTCACCTTCCTGCCTCCATGTCCATTGGTAGCTCCATTACTGTTGCTTTGAAAATGTAATCTCTCTCTCTCTCTCTCTCTCTGCCCCATTGGGTGATTGTGATAGAGAATGGTGGTTATGGTTGTAGCTGGATTTGACAGTGGTATGGTGGGGGGTGGTTGGTTGTGATGGGGGTTGGGGATTGGCGTAGGGTACTGGAGATGTGCTACTGGGGGTGGCGGGTAGGGGTGCAACTCCTGCAAGTTTTATCAAGTTGAGAGGTTGCCCAAAACCTACTTGACTTGTATTGAGAGTAGCCCAGTTGTAACATCGCCCGGGGGGTACCCGAGCGTGTTAACAGTTCGGACCCTCTATTTCTTTGATCTAGTCTCACAAGTGCAATGTGAAACATAGATAAAAGTTTAGATTTGGCAACTTCATAGAAAAAATATTTGCCAGAAATGGACTGCATCATCAGATCTCAGAGTTCCCACCTAATATTTTGGAAAAATTAGGAAACTCGTGACTCGTGCCAAGACCACTGTTCGTCTGTCGTAACAAGGATGCTTGACTTAGAATCTTAGGTATGAGAGGGAAAGGTCATTAATTGAGCACTTCCACTTAGCCGATCAAAAGATCGGCCCCTCTACTAAGCCATGATATTATTTTTATTAACTTTATATATTCATATTCTAATTATCAATAAATCCTAAAATTTATTATGTGAAGCAAATAAATATAGACTGTGTCATTTATTTTGAAACAATTTGATTTCATTATTTTGAAAATGTTTTGAATAGCACAATCATGAAAATCAAGTTTATTTCAAATTAAACAACACAACCTTCACTCACTGGCATGCATAGTGTTAGAATTTCCCATCTTTACCTTCACCTACTCCACTACACACTCCACTTCACCTACCTCTACTCCACTACACACTCCACTTCACCTAACCCACTATCACCTCCACTACACCTACTACCACATTTTCTTCTATATATAGATTGTATAGGAATTGTAATTAATGCATCTTGTAATCTATCAATCATAACATTATATCAATCAATAATACATCTATTTTAACACATAGAGATATATCAAATAAGCACATAGTCGCATGGTAGGATGCTAAACATCGTAAGAAAATCGCACACAGGCGGGATGCTAAAACACACAAAATTTACATATTTATTGACGTCCCGCAAACAATTACAAGACAAAGTTAGTAAAAACATGCATGATCCTATATATAAGGTGCTAATGCAATTCACTATGAAATGCAACTAAAGATCCGGCTTCTATTATATGACATGTGAATCATCTCAAGACACGAGATAGCACACAAAATCACATAATAAACGATTAAACCCACAAATGCAAATTTAGCCGGACCGGATCTTAAGGCATGAAGCATGGATGCAAAGTATGGATATAATGACAAACATATATATTACATATGTGCAGAAAAGGAAAACAAATAAAAGAACGGGATAGAAAGAAGTAGGATTGGAGAATTATTAAATTTTGGAATATTACAAATTCGAATAAGGGAGGACGAATAAAAATATTACAATAAAATATCCTTACAAACTCTCTCTAATTAAAATTAAAACAATAAAAAAAGAAGCTGTAGGGGGCCTTGGAGACCATTGGAGATTGTTCTGCTCAACTCTAGGAGGCTACTGGGTTCTGTTCAGGAAAAAGTGGCTGGCCGGCCAAAAGATGAGCTGGCGGGCCAAAAAGTTAGCCAGCAGGCCAATCAAGTCAGGCCAAAACTCTGTTTTGCTTCAAATATCAGAAAAGCAAATAGAAAATATGCAAGTGACTCAACTAACCACTTTCAGTTAGCTTACAACAGGTTTATAACACAAAATCAAAGCAAGAGAAGCAATTGAAGAAAAAAAATGCAAGAAATACAAGAAAATGAAAAGTGTGCAAAATTCACTTTCCAAAGAAATGATTTGATTTCTAAACTTTCTTTTGATTACCCTCAAGTTTAGGAAGTGCGTTCCCAATCCTCAGCTTGAAAATTCAAAATTCTTGCTAGAATGGTGTTTTTGGGTTGTTGGTGTGTTTGGCAACGTTTACGTTTTCATTTTATATTTACAAAAATTTTATAAACTGATTTTTGTATGTTTTTTGTTTAGTTTTAGAAAAATATAAACTACAAACGTGTTTGGTAATTGACAAAATGTTTTAAAAAATTTAAAAATATAAAAAAGAGTAAGAAATGACAAGTGGTGGCAAGTGGCGGTAGAAGACGGTGGGTGGTGGGTAGCTGCTGGTGGTGGGTGGGTGGTGGTGATGGATGGGTGGGTGACGGTGGCGGGTGGCGGGTGGTAGTGGCGAGTGGGGGGTGGTGGCGGTAGGTAGGTGGCGGGTGGGGGGTGGTGGGTGGTGGGTGATAGCGAGTGGGTGGTGGTGGTGGCGGTGGCGGCGGGTGGGTGGTGGCGAGTGGGTGGTGGTGGTGGTGGTGGCAGCGAGGGGTGGGTGGTGGCGGCGAGTGGGTGGCAGGGGGGTAGTGGGTGGTGGTGGGTGGTGGGTGGCAGGGGGGTGGTGGTGGCGAGTGGTGGCTGGTGGTAGTAGGTGGGTGGTGAGTGGTGGCGGCAGGTGGTGGTGGTGGAGGGTGGGTGGTGGGTGGTGGCGGCGGATGACGGTAGTGGAAAATGGTGGCGGGGGGTAGCTAATGTTGGGTGATAAAAAAAAAAATTGAAAACTCAAAATGGAAACACATTTTTTGTGTTTTCATTTTTTGGCCAAATTTATAAACTGAGACCACTGATTTATAAATCAAAAATTTTACCAAACAAGTTTTTATTTGAGTTTTTTAAATTTTTGTAAATATAAACAGAAAACTGAAAACGTAAGTGTTACCAAACGGCAGTGCGTGGGGGAAAGGTATACAACTCTCTATTTTTCTCTCTTTTCAACAACAATCACTCTCTTTCGATCAAATCTATTAGAATTTGGCTATATTAGAATTCTTGGGATGGTTTTGATATATGAAACTTGGTATATCAGTGTATGTTGAAAAAATGAAAGTTTTGGCTCAAAGCTTCAAGTTCTCTCTTTTTTTCCCTATCGCTCTTCTCTTCTCTTAATTCATCCTTCTTTCAAATTCCATTCTTTACGTTCTGATCCTCCATATAGACAATGAACGCAAGCTCAATCAAGGAGGTGGGAGACAAGGTTGATGGGATGACAAGGATGACAAGGGTGGTTGAAGAAGACAATCTCCCTTTTGACAACGGAGGGTACTGAAGGGGATGGGTGTGTACCTCGTGCGTGAATGTATCAACAAAAGATCTGAAATGGCATAACCCACACGCTTTCAATAAGAATTCTGCTGAAATTGCCCTGCTTCTGGGCAAATTAGCTAGCCGGCCGATTTATTGGTTTGCCGGCCAGGAAACCTTGGCTAGCTAGCCAAAAACC